TAGCGGGTCTTTTAACTTTTTTTAGGTAAGGTCACTTGACGTGCCCTAGTGACCTGACCTTGAACGACCCTCATCTGAAATTTAACAAGCTGTGTAGAAAAGATGTATGAACAGGTGTACCAAAGACAGCGGAGGCGCTGCGCGACGCCGTTTTTGAGATGTTCGCGAGGAAAAAACCTAAGGGGGCGTACCCCCCCTCCCCCTCCAGCACGGCGCGGATCAATGGGAGACAGTTGAAATGCTCTTCTTCTGAACGAAAACAACCTCAACCATCGGGATGCAGGTAAATATGACACATTTAATCGGTAAATGTCACTCGTGATGTGACCACTTTTATGTTACTGAGGTCATCTCAGGTCATGAAAGGTCTCCAGTAGATTTTGGACAATAACTTTTGATAGAGATATGGTAGAGCAATGAAACACCCTATATAATTATTTTCCTTCTCGAAAGTATGGATCGACTAATATGCAATATGACCTTTACCGGTTAGGTTATGACCTTTACCTTAGGTCAAATTCTCAAATGCCCTTTTAATGTCAAATTCTAGTTCATTTGACTTGTCTGTCTCGAAAAATGGAACACGATGCTGGTTGAACTAATCTCATGCAGGTCTGAGCAAAATGTAAACGTCCTCCGCGAAAACGTATATTTTGAGGCTAAAACGCTTACCTTAGGTCAAATCTGAGATAATCGATAAGAGAGAGCATAAAAAAGAGCTATCGAATATGCGCTTTGCTGCGGCGCTGTAGTTCAATCTCTTTCTGAATCCTGACTTATGCGCCGCTTTGTCAAAAAATGTCAACATCGGCGAAATTTGATTTTCGGTTGTCGCTGGTGACCTGACCTTCGACCAGTTCGACCTAGCCTTAAAATGATCTAAGTAGTTTTGTAATAGTTTTTGACGCTCTTTCGAACGCCGCCTACTGCGTGTCTCGACGTGGCCCACAAGCTGAGTTAGAAGTGGGTGTTCGAACACCCCCAGCAGGTTCAATAAAAAAACGCTTACGCTGGGGGCGGCACCCCACTGCTAGGCGCTGTCGGCATCGCAATAATGGGCGGCACAGCGCTGAGGGGCGCAACTTGCATTGAGGGGTGGCATTGTACGGTGAAGGGGCAGCGTCGCGTTGAGGGGCGGTATCGCAACGAGGGTGGCACTTACAAGGCTGCCTAATAAGGAACGCTTCGCTTGGCACATCCAAGCCCAGCTCGGCGCCGCCTAGCTGCTGCATCTTGAAAAGGGCCCTTGGTGTCGATGAGAAAGCCCCATTGTCAAAAAATTGCCTAGCGTCAGTGGTTTCGGGGGGGGGGGGGGCGACCGAAGTATCCAATTCAGTTTCGCGTCAGTGACTACTGGAGGGCGTCAACGACCTCGGATAGGGCGAATGTGATCTTCAGAAGGGCACCGGGTGCTCTAGAGGGGTGCAATGCTTGGATGGGGTCACTGCTGCCTTCAGTAGGGCATCGGACGCTCTGTAGGGGCGCCATTGATCTCGGATGGTCCGACTGGGATTTTCAGAGGAGCATCAGTGGTTTCAGAGGGGCGCCATTGATCAAGGATGGGCCGACTGAAGCCCCGGTTCAGGTGAGCGCCAGTGGCTCTTGAGGGGCGCCAGCGACCTCGGATTGATGGGGCGACTGTGATCTTTAGAACGGCGTTGAGGGGCGCCATTGGGCATGGATGGGGCCACTGTTGCCTTCAGCAGGGCGCCGCAGGGAGGCTCTGGAGGGGCTTGAGCTTGGGTGGGCCGACTGTAGTCTCCAGGGGCGTTGTCTCGGATGGGGCGAATGTGATTTTCAGAGGGGTGCCGGGTAGTCTAGAAGGGCGCCATTGGTTTCAGAGGGCTGCCATCGATCTTAAGATGGGGCAGCTGTAACCTTCGTTTAGATGGGCGTGATCTTCAGAAGCGCGCCGGACGCTCTGGAGGGGCGTCATTGGGCTTGAATGGGGCGACTTTAGTCTCAAGCGGGACGACTTCAGTCTCAAGGGGTGGGGCGCTAGTGGCTCTTGAGGGCGCTATTGATCTCGGATAGGGCGACTGTGATCTTGAGAAGAATGCGGGTGCTTTAGAGGGGCGCCAGTGGTTTCAGGGATCGATCTTGGATGGGTCGATTGGGGCAGCTGTGAACTTCAGAGGGGCGCCGGGTGCTCTAGAGGGGCGCCATCAAGCTTTAATGGGGCGACTGTTCCGTTTAGGTGGGTGCCAGCGGCTCTTCAGGGGCGCCATCGACCCTGGAGGTTCGGAATATTCTGGTTTCCGGAGGGGCGCCCTTGAACATTTGGGGGCTCAGGTCGTATTTGGGGGTGCCCTGGAGATTATTTAGGTGTCCAGGCACCCCCAAAGAGATATTGAGTTCGATCCCTGCCTGCACATCACTTTTTAATTCATGTTCTCTCTGTAAAACGGCATCAGCCTAGTCGGCGCTAATTGGGGCGCCATTTGGGCGGCTGGGCGGAAAGGGGGGGCCATGGCCCCCATGGCCCCCCCCTGTCTACGCCACTGCAGGTCTTGTCTTCACCCAAGAAGGTCTTATTGCATACTTTACCTCTCGATCGACTGTGAAGCTATCCGGTGTAAGGTATCATGAAGCCGGTCGTGACAAAACTTTAATACCCTCATGTTAATCAAGGTTATTAAAAGTCTGAAATTTCATGAACCTTACCCAGTGACCTTTGACCTGTGACCTACTTGTCGAGACCATGTTTGGCCATGTTTGAGACCCTGTTTGACCGGAATCGCGATTCGGCGTATGTCGGCTCACATTATCCGCGCTTTTACAGTCTTTTCGTGGTTTCAAACTCAGACTCAGACTCAGACGTGTATTAACCCGCGCACCGACGGGGGTCTGCGCCAACTTAGTACCGACGGGGGGGGGGGGCGGATGACCGCCCCCCCCCCTGAGATCTCGAGAACGAAGCAAGATAGCGACAAGCGGTAAACGGCATCGGATACGCACGGTCAAGATCTACAATTTTTACTAAGGTCATTTTCAGGTCAGGTCAAAGATGACGTCACAGGGGTCGAAAAAGTCAAAATGGCGGCGCTAAATATGGAGAGAGTTTTTCTCGAATAACTTTCGAACTAGTCAAGATAGGAACAAACTAAGGGCATCATCGTGCTCCTCTCGTCAATCCGCATCGAATGATATATATGTTGACCTCGAAAGGTCAAGGTCAAAGGTTGACCTCAGGTCACGTGACCTCGAGGTCATCATGTATATCATTCGATGCGTCTTGACGAGCTGAACACAATGAGACCATCCACGCGTCTGTATCTTGTTCCTGTACGGAGTTATTGGCCAAAAACCTTTGGTGACCTTTGATGACGTCACATGACCTCACAGCTGCCCAACAGCAAAACAGACCTCAAGGTAGTGAAGGTTGATCGTATATGAAGTCATGTATGGTATATGGGGCCATTCCGACCCGTTTTAGTGGTAAAAACAGGGAGTTGATTTTTCCCCCATTGACTTATAATGGGGAGGTCGCGAAATTGACCTGACCTTAGGTCACCGATATCAAAATTCCGAGATATACAAATTGTAGCTACTAATGACCTAATAACATCCTGCGACTTTCAAAGGCCTCCGACATCTACTGTAGCTCTGGCACGGTGACAAAGTTGCAAAAAAAGTGACTTGAGGTTGGGTCATTCAAAGTGACCTGGTGACCTGACCTTGAAAGGTAGGAGGTTCAAACTTGCACACCATGTGTAAAATTGATAAGGGAATAGTCATACCAAATTTCGCGGCGCTACGCGCCGCGGTTTTCCCGCTATTCGCGAAAAACCTCAGGGGGGGGCGGATATCCGCCCCCCCCCGTCGGTGCGCGGGTTAAGGAAATCCACTAAAAGCGGCTATTACATCCTCTCGTCAAAAATTAAAACGGTGGTTTCAAAGTCAAGATAAAGAGAGACAAGCATCACAATCACACTCGCATACATCATAGTCAAGATAATACAAGAAACATAGATACAGACAATACCAGCACACATACACACCAGATGGTTAGCTCAACTCAGTCAGGTTGGATCCGTCAGCAGCCGCCTGAGGCGGTGCTTAAAAACAGGCACCGGGAGCCCGAGCAAATCGGGTGACAGGCGGTTGTAAAGAACCGGACCACGGCTGATGAAGCGCCTCTTGCCTGCTTCGGTTCTAGATCGGAGCACATATAGTGAGTGGTCCTGTCGGGTCACCCTAGCTTGCTCAAACGCTCAAGTGTGAAATGATGTTGGTCCCACCCATTGTTGTAGGTGTCAATGTCTCCTTATAGTCAAGTCAGTTCATTGACCTTGATCACCTCGGTGCACTTTTTCGAGTTTAACATGTTTCTAGGATAGTTTCGTTTAGTTTATTTTGAATTTAGCAACCATTGGAACAGTTACGAAGTAGTTTTAATGCCTTCGTATCATGTCACATAGCTGCCAGTGGTAGTGGACACCCATAAGTACCCTACTAGTTGACCTGACTTGACCTGCCCCGACCTGGCCTAAATGCATGACGAGTAAAGACGTCATCTATGATCCAAACTAATATGAAATTCGTGATCAGCACCCCGAAAAACCCTATTACAGCCTTATTTTAGGAGGTTCCTACAGGTCCTGATTTTCCCGTCTTTTGGGTCTGTTACCTGACCTGGAAGGTCAACCAATGACCAAGGACCTTAAAATTGGGTATCATCCGCTTCCTCTCGTCACTCACGGGCAACACGCTCGCTTTTTCCGCGAAGCTCTAGCTTGATCAGGGGCCGAACGACAGGGGGTCCAACCGACGCCCCCCGGCCCGCGAAGGCTGCGCCAAGAACCGACCCGGAGCGGGCTAACGGGTCGATAAAAGCAATATGAAGTGTTGGTATATTTTTTATTTATTTTTAGTTTAAAAAAATAACTACCAGGTATCGGAGCAGGCGGTGGCCGCGCGGAGTACGGCGCTGCGGCTGCGGACTGCTGATCGGTGTGAGGGCGCTGACCGCTGGCCCATCTTTGTCTCCCGGCCGACAGGTGAGGGCGCTGAAACGCGAGCTGCCCGTCCTGCGCGACCTGGAGGGCTCCTACTATTGCCGTCAAGAGCGGGACGGCCTCCTGATCGGACCCTACGAACACCAGGACAGCATGAACCTCTCTGAGGACTGGGTTTTGCAAGGCGTACGAAAAGGTAAGCGATTCCATGTTATACAAACATTAAATGCAGCAGCTGCTTATTGATGCCCGTTAGGCACCATGCGCTAAAATCTAAAAAAAAAAAATCACAAGGCACCATCTTAAAAATGATTAGTGGTGATTAAGACCCCTAACGCATGGTTTTATGCGAACTTCTCGAAGGTGGCAGTCTTCCTTTTAAACCGGCACCGCCTGGGCTATTTCCGTACCCACGACAGCCTGGGGGGGGGTCGGATCCGACCCCCCCCTGTTATCTCGAGAACCAATGGTCGTATCGAGCCCCGCGAGGCGGCGTTCGAAAGGTCTCTACGAGACCTTCCTAAAGCACTCTTAAGATTTTAACCCGCGCACCGACGGGGGGGGGCGGATATCCGCCCGAAATTTAGTATGACTATAACCTCATCAATTTTACACATGGTGTGCAAGTTTGAACCTCCTACCTTTTAAGGTCAGGTCACCAGGTCACTTTGAATGACCCAACCTCAAGTCACTTTTTTGCAACTTTGTCACCGTGCCAGAGCTACAGTAGATGTCGGGGGCCTTTGAAAGTCGCAGGATAATATTAGGTCATTAGTAGCTACAATTTGTATATCTCGGCATTTTGATATCGGTGACCTAAGGTCAGGTCAATTTCGCGACCTCCCCATTATAAGTCAATGGGGGAAAATCAACTTCCTGTTTTTACCACTAAAACGGGTCGGAATGGCCCCATATACCATACATGACTTCATATACGGTCAACCTTCACTACCTTGAGGTCTGTTTTGCTGTTGGGCAGCTGTGAGGTCATATGACGTCATCAAAGGTCACCAAAGGTTTTTGGCCAATAACTCCGTACAGGAACAAGATGCATACGCGTGGATGGTCTCATTGTGTTCAGCTCGTCAAGGCGCATCGAATGATATACATGATGATCTCGAGGTCACGTGACCTGAGGTCAACCTTTGACCTTGACCTTTCGAGGTCAACTTATATATCATTCGATGCGGATTGACGAGAGGATCACGAGAGGATTAAGATTGAGGTCAACTTTCGGGTAAAGGTCAGGTCAAAGGTCAAATTCAGAGGTTTTGCATGATTAGGCTTACGGACAGCGGAATCGATAGCTGCTGCTCGAAACTCACCAAAAATGACCTCAAAGGCCTAGTGAAGGTATCATGTGTGTATAAGGGTCATACTAAGTACGGGTCAAGGTCAGGTCAGGTCACGAAAGGTCACGGTTTTCACTTTCTGCTACATGGGCGTGCGGACACATGTTTTATGGCTTATTTTTCACGCCAAATCCAATGGTAATGGTTATATGTGACCCCAAGTCACTGTGCTGGTGATAAGTGTGCATTGAAAGCATAATAAATCGTTTATACCATATGATTATATATGTTGTTGTATATATAATCATATGGTTATCTCGTTTAGTTATGTATATAATTATACCATACATAACTAAACGAGGGCCAAGAAAAAATCAATTTTTCAACTTTTTATTTTTGACATAAAAATGCAGTTTTCTAGACGAGCTTTGTCCCAGGAATCTAGTGGTGCCATTTGTTTTCACATGCGATGTTCAGAAGTGCCTTTAATTCACGAAAATGCTTATGACGTCACCATGTCCTATGCATGTTGGAGCAATTTTTTTACAATTTGGGGGTCAAAAATCAAGATAGAAAGTTGAAATTTGTGACGTCTTATGTTCTAATAGAGCTCTATAACATATATTCCGGTTTTTTGAAAATTCCTAAAATTTTGGATTTTATTATTTGTTTTCCAAAAAATATAGCTTCTTGAATTTTTAGGGGTGAAAAACGCATTTTATGGAAAATCCGAGATAGCCATTCAAAGAACTCGTTAAGCGGCGTCTATTCATGTCCTTAATTTGCAATTTGCTTTAAACCTCGATTTTTGGCGATTTTTTAAACATTTACCACTTTTTGACTGAAAACGCCATGTAGTTGCATCACTAAAATCGATATATCTAACAAAAAAATTGGGAAAAAATCTTAAAAATTGCACAGAAGACGTCAGATTGATGGGGGAGAAGGTATGCCAAGTTTCAAGTAGATAGCGTAAGCGGTTCATGAGTTATTCAAGAAAAACGGAGGGGGGTCGGATCCGACCCCCCCCCCATTTAACGACATTTAATACCAGAGGCACGACAAGGTCGGCGACATTTGATACCAGAGGCACGACAAGGTCGGCGACAGACGCCCCTCAGTAAAAATTCGTCTCAGTCTTTTCGCTATTGCCGCCCCCCAGCAGTGACATTTTTTGCCCTGACTTGGGGGGCCAAGTCGGTGACTGCGTGGATTTGCCTCCCCCCACCAGTTAACATGCTAGGCAAGTCACTGAGTTTTGGTGCCTATGTAGCATCTTACGAAGCTGTCGTTGGTGGTTGGTATCTACTATGGATAGTCGACAGGACGCGTACTGGTTGACCTGACCTGACAAGGCCCGACCTACCCCAAATACATTAATGCATCATCTTCGATCAAACTAACATGAACTTCGTATTTCGTAATGAGCACCCCGAGAACCTCATGGCAAAATCGCTTTGCAAAGTGCTTGTAGGTCCCAAGTTATCCCGATTCTTGGGTCGTTGACCCGACCCAAGAATGACCCGACCCGACGACAATGTTGACCCGACGACGTCAACAAATAATCTAGGACGTTGGGTGCAATCGGCTTCTTCTCGTCACGGGTACGGGGTAACACTCGTTTTTTTCCGTGCAGCTCTAGCTCAGCTCAATCCGGGGTCAAACAGCGGGGCGGGGATCCGGACAACTCCTCCCTCCCCCTCCCCCTCCTCCCCCTCTGCGTAAGCCGCTGTGTAAACGCCAGTACGGACAAACATTTAAGTTAAAGTGATATAGGGACGGGGGAAGGATTTACAATGTGCGAATGTTGTGATTGTTGTAAAAGCATGGTTTATACCCGTTTACCGTACCACGTTGTTTTTGTATTATGACATGGGCACGAAAAAGCTGCTACTGTGTTTGTAGAGCGTCGATGATCTGAACTGCCCCTCTGGCCTGACCTTCTCTAACATGAACCGCTCCGACCTGACCGCCTCCGACCTGGACGGCGCTCCGACCTGGACGGCGGTCCGACCAGGCCCATCGGGCCTGCAGTGGCCGGCGGCGCTGACCGCTGACCGGCGCGGCGGCCGGCAGGTTTCGGCCGGGAGCTGTTCGCGCCTGACCTGGACAGGATCGAGACCAACCTGGAGATGGCCATGGAGCGGATACCGTGCTTTGGTCAGGCGAGCATCCAGAGCGTGGTGAACGGGCCCATCACGTACTCGCCGGACGTGCTGCCCATGGTGGGGCCCACCCTGCTGCCCAACATGTGGGTCGCCGTCGGATTCGGGTAAGTCGGCTGCCGGGCTCACCGCCGCGGCTGACGCAGCCAGCGTCCAACGGAGCCCGTGCCAGTCTGGTATTTTTAACCCTCGCCCGGCCAGAGCGAGGTTGATGCCAGACATGCGCATGGATCAGAGTGATGGATCTATGATCTCAGTGGATCTCGAAGCAAACTGCAGGTTCGGATCTATGATCCCACCGGATCCGGCGTGAAAAATTTATCCTGGATCTATGATCTCTCAGGATCTGATGTTAAACCAAGAACATGAATCTATTATCTGAGTGGATCCCACCAAGCACAACATTTTAAACCAAGTTTGCAAGTGTTTCTACGTCAATAAGTGCATTAAAACTATGGCTTATGATGTGCTATCACATAAATCACTAAATAAGAACGTTTGTGAGTTGCAACGAGCGATTTTTGGGGATTTCTGTGTTGACAATAAATAAATGAAGATCTATGATCTCACTGGATCTCAAGCAAAAATATTAGACTCGGATCTATGATCCCTACGGATCTGTCGATAAATTTGAGAACTGGATCTATGATCCCGACGGATCCGAGATCAGGATCCGTGGGATCAGATCCCAGATCCATTTTTTTCGGATCCACGCACATGTCTGGTTGATACCTCTTCAGGTTTTTCGTGAATGGCGTAAAACGGCGGAGCGTAGCCCTGCCAAATTTGACATATCCTCTAGGGCAACCTTTTGGCACCTTCCATGACAATTTCAGGTCTCAGTCGTTTCAGGTCAGGTCATTAGATCACAAAACCTGGTACAAGGTCAAGGTAAAATTGAACTTTAAAATTGAATTTGAGCGGCAACGGAATTACAAAAGCCTTTCGCTAACCCGCGAGTTGCTGAAGAGGAGGGCGTTAACCCACCATTGACTGAGAGGGATGGCGTTTAGCCGCCATTGATTGAGAGGGATGGTCGTTTAGCCGCCATTGACTGAGAAGGATGAGCGTTTATCCCCCGCCGACTTTTTGCGACAATTGTAACGAATCTGTGACAGATATAAAATGACGATAACAACTCGGGTTTATTGTAAGAGACGAGGCTTTCGATGCATACAGTATCTTGCTCACTGTCAGGGAGATGAAGAATACGGCGAAATATCAATCACAGATGCCAAAAACCGACTGCTTTCCTAACATGTGACATTTACCCTATGACACTCCCACCAGCCCCCGTTCACGAGTCTCAAAACTCCTTTACCGTGACGTCACGCGGGCGGCAAAAATCCCTTCACCCCATGAGGATCTATACAAATGATGCCGAGTTATGAGCTGGACTGACGCCTAAGTTGAGGACTAAAATATTATATAAAACATATCATTTGACTCAGTGAGACTTGATTTATCCAAAACCGGGCCTCAATCGGTCGAATTCGAATGAACTGAGCATAAATTTTGCCTTTTAGATGAGGCCTGTAAATTTCGATGAAGGTTTTTATCGTGAAGGAAAAAAATAGTGCTACCAAATGCGTCTGGCGCCGCTTTTACAAAAGCCAAATACTAACGTCATTTTCTATTAATAATATGTAAATTCATGATTATTTTGGCTAAATCGAGTTGCGAACATTCACTTAAGGGCGACTTACCGTTACATATCCGTATACACATATGCGTCCTTATGGAAATTGGTTGTGTGGCGACTGGCGACGCGCGCGATATCTGTGCGGCACCTCACAGTGATGCAAATGGGGTTCACGAGTGGCCATAAATACCAAAAAGTCAAGTTTACCAAACCGAACCACCCTTGTGGCACAGTTGGCAGGTGCGTTCAAGTTTGGTGTGGGAGGTCCTTGGATCAAAGCTGACCTCTGGCAGCCTTTTCCTCGGCCGGCTCCTACCCAGGAGATGGCAGTAACTGGGGAGTGTTCGCTCGGTCGTGGGGATAACGCTGTGCCAACCAGCGCCCCCGGCCGCAGGTACACGGGCCTGATCCGCCTTTAAACAGATCCTTCGGTCCGGTGACATGCCCCGAGGGCACGGCCTCGCTTCATGTCCCAGAGCAGCCCTCTGACCTGCCGGGCCCGAGAAATCGGGATAGCCCCAGCGTGTGCACCAGTGCGGTGCCATCTGGGGCACGCAGTGGCGTATCTAGGATTTCTCTCAGGGGATCCGCAGTCAAAAGGGCCCTTGACTGACTGGGTTGAAAGGGCCCTTAAGTGGCAAAAGGGCCCTTGAAGCCTGAGTTGAAAGGGCGTTAGCCCGCGTCCCGTATGGGGGGGGGGGGCGAAACGGCCCCCTGTCCTCTTCCGTAGCTATCTCCTAAATGACTGCAGATATCGCCACCAAACTTTCAGGACCTCTCCGGGCATCCATTTTACACATTGTGACCTTTTTCCAGAGGCTATGATAGGTTGGCCGCAAATACGTCAGAATGACGTCATGTTCTGCCATTTTCGACCCAAAAAAGGTTTCGCAGGAAGAGCTATCAGGCCTACAGAGCTGTAGAAACATGAAAATGTTCCGATATAAAAAGTGTAGAATTAACAGGCTTACGTCAAATCTGAGCACAGTTTACAGAAAGAGCGTTAAAAGAGCTTTGTTTGATTTGTTGGGTTGGACCCAGGCCCTTTCGGCTTTCGGTCTGACGAGACCATTTCAGGGCCGGAGGATGATAGGAATTGAGGGAGACATTGGTCTGGGCGGGCACCTTGGTGAGTCACTGGGGCTGAGCCTGTCCAACAGGACAGGCCGACCAGCCTCCCAAGTGCTCACTGCACCCGGTTACGAGTGTGCTTCCTTAGGAGCTGCAGTGCGCTCCAATGGGAGCCGCCCGCATGGAATAAAGTTGCCCGTCCAGGTCCAGTCCGGATCAGGGGTTGCGGCATGGAGGAGAAGGATTTGAATGTCCTGAGGATGGAAACGGCGAAAGGGGTGTTAAAAGAGCTATTAGCTACGCTTTTCCCCGGTACTGTAGCTCTATTCATTTCCGAATCATGCGGTGGTTTGTTGAAAATTGTCGAAACTGGACCTGAAAATTGGCGAAATTTAACCTTGGATGACCTATGTAAACTGAATTTTGAACTGATCTAAAAAGTGACAGGCGTAATTTCGTCATTATTGTTTGCTTGCGTCCCTTCGAACACTGCCTTAGGCGTGTTGGTACGTGGCTCAGAAGCCGAGTTATACAGGGTGTCCCAGAATTACCCGGACATTTATTTTCTGGCTAAAAGTACGATTGCGCTCGATTCTAATGATATACAAGCATCATACTTTTATAAGGTATCCCTTAGCTATCGAGCTTGGGGACTGTGTGCTTTTGGTGACCGGTAACGACTCGAGTCAAGTATTATCCAGAGTCAAGTAAGAGTAGTCCTTTTCCGTTTTCAGCTTAAGCCACTAATAGGCAACCATGGTGAATCAACTCCCGTTTTCAACTTTGTAAACGGACTTTCGGCATGGTTTTTGCTGGAGAGCTTCAGCAGCTCATCTGCAAGCAGTTAGGATTGAGCAAAGCGCATTTATATCAGCTAACGAAGCCAGAGAGAGCAAGAGATAAACCTGATTGACAAGCTTGGGCTCGGCCAAAAAGGGCCATGCACCAGTTGTCAAACGGGTGGTTGCTTGTCATGGACAACAAACGTCACTGATCTAGCTAAAAACTAGCTAAACGATAGATCAGGACTATCTAAAGAACATCAGTCTACTTTCCACCACTATCTTCGCAAAATTTTGAAATTTGAGGTCCCTCGCCTGAAAAATATGCGAAAACTACGGGAAAAGCAGCGAAAATCACTACAATTCATCCCAAAAATATAACATATACAACAAAAAATTGTATTGAAGCACACTTTGTGGTCTAACGAAGGTATTCTGTCATTTGAACCGCCCGAAAAGGGCGTGTGTGAACGTCAGATGGCTACAACGCCCCAACAGCAGAGACGGCCAGGCACCTGTCGAAAATCAAATTGTGAGATATTTTGAGCCACCGTGCACTCATTCGGCTTGATATGATGGCCCAACGACAGCCGTTAGCACAGAGTACTACTGCGGTAATATTCTACCAGTAAAAAAACTGGATGCCGTAAACCAAATGGCCATGAACGGGTTTGTTTTGGAAACCAAATCTGTTGGAAGCCAAAGGTCCCGCCATGTTCAGACATGGAGCTTCTCCACTTCAGATGTAAAAAACGCGGCAAAAGTGGTGTAGGCAGCAATTTTTGTTTTGGGGGATAATGCCTTATGACCTGGGAACACTTTGATGTTAAGTTTATCTTATATGATCGTATTATCCTCCAGCAACAGGTCAAAGAAAACAGGCCTTCACCCAGTTTCGGGAGAGCCGTAAAACAACTGAGACCAGCAATGACTGACATTTTCAATCATTGTCGGCTGATCTTGTAACAAGCGTATCTATTGCATGTGCTATTTCACAGCCACCCTAGTTGACTATATAGGACGATAAAAAGAAAAAAGCGCAATCATGTTTGCCTTATTTTATACGCTAATTAACAATGTCCGGGTAATTCTGGGACACCCTGTAGATGCAGGGGTGCGGAGCCGGAGCTGGAGCCGGAGGAGCCGCCGGTGCCAGCATATTTTGCCTGGAGGCTGGAGCCGGAGCCGGAGCCGGAGCCGTGAAACAATATAGCCCGGAGCCGGAGCCGGAGCGGTAAAAAAGGCGGCGACTCCGGCTGTTTTTTTTTTTTTTTTGAAGAGGAAAACATTATTGACCTAGTTCGGTTTCACAGTACCTACAAGGCAGTAAAATATGTGGTACCGTAAAGTGGGGCTATTGTTAGGGCCAAGTAAAGCTGCATATACCACGACACGGTGTATTGTGCTTCCAGCGACCGAAGACCAAGCACGGACACGGCGACCCGCCGACTGACCCCGTCCGGTCACGGTCGCGCCCTTATATAACCACGGCACAGAGCGCATGCGCGGTGACCGCGCGGCGGTCAGGCGGCTCGCCGGCCGGACGGCCGGGCCGCCGACCCATCCTGTTCCACGGCCCCACACGGCCGGTGCGCGGTCACAATATCCCAAC